GGTTTGGTTGGGTTAGGTTGGATTTGGTTGCATTGGGTTGGGTTTGGTTTGGTCAGGTTTGGTTTGGTCAGGTTTGGTTTGGTCAGGTTTGGTTTGGTCAGGTTTGGTTTGGTTTGGTCAGGTTTGGTTTGGTTGGTTTGGTTTGGTCAGGTTTGGTTTGGTCAGGTTTGGTTCGGTTTAGTCAGGTTTGGTTTGGTCAGGTTGGGTTTGGTTTAGTCAGGTTTGGTTTGGTCAGGTTGGGTTTGGTTTGGTTTGGTTCAGTTTGGTTTGGTCAGGTTTGGTTTGGTTTGGTCAGGTTTGGTTTGGTCAGGTTTGGTTTGGTCAGGTTTGGTTCGGTTTAGTCAGGTTTGGTTTGGTTCGGTTTGGTTTGGTCAGGTTGGGTTTGGTTGGTCTGGTTTGGTCAGGTTGGGTTTGGTCAGGTTTGGTCAGGTTTGGTTTGGTTGGTTTGGTTTGGTCAGGTTGGGTTTGGTTTGGTCAGGTTTGGTCAGGTTTGGTTGGTTTGGTTTGGTCAGGTTTGGTTTGGTTTGGTCAGGTTTGGTTTGGTCAGGTTTGGTTTGGTCAGGTTTGGTTTGGTCAGGTTTGGTTTGGTTTGGTCAGGTTGGGTTTGGTTTGGTTTGGTTTGGTCAGGTTGGGTTTGGTTTGGTTTGGTTTGGTTTGGTTCTGTCCATGACCATGAGCTGTGGTTCATCACCTCATGATTGGCTTTGGTTCATCCCCTCAGGATTTGGTTCCTCACCGCGGGTTTGATTTGATTTAGTTTGGTTTGGTTGGGTTGGGTTCATCACTTTTCTTGGCTGGCTTGGGTTTGGTTTGGTTGAGTTGGATTTGGTTTGGTTGGGTTGGGTTGATCACCTTTCGTGGCTGGATTGGGTTGGGTTTGGTTGGGTTGGGTTGAGTTGGACTTGGTTTGGTTGGGTTGGGTTCATAACCTGTCACGGTTGGGTTTGGTTTGGTTGGGTTGATCACCTCTCATGTTTCGGTTGGGTTTGGTTGGGTTGGGTTTGGTTGGGCTTGGTTGGGTTTGGTTCAGTTTGGTTCTGTTGGGTTTGGTTCCGTTGGGTTTGGTTTGGTTCAGTTTGGTTCTGTTGGGTTTGGTTCCATTGGGTTGGGTTTGGTTCAGTTTGGTTCTGTTGGGTTGGGTTTGGTTCGGTTTGGTTCCGTTGGGTTGGGTTTGGTTCTGTTGGGTTTGGTTCTGTTTGGTTCAGTTGGGTTCTGTTGGGTTTGGATGTTTTCAGGTCCATTGACTTCCGTTGCGTTGGGTTTGGTTCTCTTGGGTTCTATTGGGTTTGGTTCTGCTGGGTTGGGTTCTGTTGGGTTCCGTTGGATTGGGTTTGATTCTGTTGGGTTGGGTTTGGTTCAATTGGATTGGGTCTGGATGTTTTTGGTTCTGTTCAGTTCCATTGCATTGGGTTGAGTTCTGTTGGGTTGGGTTTGGTTCTGTTGGGTTCGATTGGGTTCCATTGGATGGTTTGGGTTCCGTTGGGTTCAGTTGGGTTGGGTTTGGTTCCGTTGGATGGGGTTTGTTCAGTTGGGTTGGGTTTGGATGTTTTTGGTTCTGTTCGGTTCTGTTGGATTGGATGCAGTTCCGTTAGGTTGGGTCTGGTTCCATTGAATTCGGGTTCAGTTCTGTTGGGTTCC